GTACCATCATCATCATTACCAACCGGAAGCAACTTCGAGCACGATGACGTCATCTCCTTCATTTAGAATCTTTTTTAATTCACCGAGAATGGTTCTTTTATTTTTTTCAGCAGCCGCCGATCTCAACACTGTGACGGAAGTCATGTGACCGTCTGCTACTTCCGCTCCTTCCGACGCCATTTTTTTTAAAGTTGTTTCTAATTAAGTTGTCAGTTGTTTATTATGAGTCGGTGGTGATGATGTTGTTTTTTGTTGATGTTTGTAATCGTTTGTTGTTGTTGTTGTTGCTCTTGTTGTTGTTTTTGTTGTTACTGCAAATGTAAGTTGTAGCTGCTGCTCTTATTGTTGTTGTTATTGTTGCTGATGTAGATGCTGTAATAGTAGTAGTAGTAGCAGTAGTAGTAGTAGTAGTAGTAGTAGTAGTATTAGTAGTAGTACTAGTTGTTGTTGTTGTTGTTGTTGTGGTTGTTGTTGTTGTTAATGTAGTTGTTACATCTCTTTTGCTTAATAGTCCCTTTGTGAATTTCGACTCATTGTTTATTCAACGTTTCTGCATTAATATCATTTCTAGAAGTGACAGTACATTAAGATGATGACGAACATGACATCCGACTGATGTTGTTGATGTTATTGTTGTTGTTGTTGATGGTGGTGATGTAGTTGTTGAGATTATTGTTGTTGTTTATGGCGTTGTATGGTGTTATAGTAGTAATTGTTGTTGTTGTATATGTTGTTGTAGTAACGAGTCGATCTTTCTAGTGTAAATGAACGATGATAAACATTTCTGTAAAAGCATCGTCAAAAAAATATTTAAAAAATATACAGTTCTATAATTTTTCCATAAAACGAAATGAGTAATTAAATTCAAAATTATATGCAGTAAAGAAAATATAGAAAAAAAACTATCAGTCATTCAATCAACCAACCAATCAACCAACCAGCCATCCAAACAATCAAAACAACCAGTTTCCTTTATCAAGCCATCAACCAACAAACAAATCAACAAAACAACTTATAAAAAATCAACCAATCGATTTACCAATCAGATTAATTGATTAATTATATTTTGGTGTACAATGGCAAAATGACTTCATCGTCGTAATTATGTGACGTATGAGAGACTGTTGTTGTTTTTGTTGTTGTTGTTTTCAATGGAAACCCTGCAAGCTCGATCTTATAAATAGAATTCCAGTACGCTAATGAAGACGATGACGACGACAATGCTGATGACGATGACGACGATGAATGATGAAGATGGCAATGAAGAAAAAGAAGAAGATGATGATGATGAGGAGGAGGAGAATGATGAGGATGATGATGATGAGGATGATGATGGTGGTGGTGGTGGTAGTGAGGAGGAGGTTTAAGATGGCGATGTGATAATGACGATGATAAATCAAGATGATGACGATGATGACGAGACAGAGGTGATGATGGCAGCAAAAATTTTTCTAAAAGCAACATTAACAACTACCATGGATTGCGCTAACAAGGAATGATGGTAGCTGTGTTAGACTGGTTATTGGAAATACCCATTAATTGTTTATCAAAAATTGATTACACGTATGTCTGTGTGTGTTTGTGTGTATGTCTGTGTGTGTGTTTGTGAGTGTCTGTTTGTGTGAGTGTGTGTGTGTGTGTGTGTCTGTGTGTGGTGTGTATAGTTTAAAATAAATCTGAAGAAGATATTATTCAAAATTCTTCGTCTATATGGGTACTTTCACATATACAAAAGTATGAAATACACGTATCGTTTGTACAGTTTAGGTATACAATACACATTCAGGTATGTATGTATGTATGTATGTATGTATGTATGTATGTATGTATGTATGTATGTATGGTTGTATGTTTGTATGTGTTGTACATAGTCGGTTGTACACATTTATGGCGTGAAGAACGACAAACCTGGATATCGGCTTGGTGCATGTTTATTAAGGCATATGCAGTGTGTATGTATGTATGTATGTATGTATGTATGTATGTATGTATGTATGTATGTATGTATGTATGTATGTATGTATGTATGTATGTATGTATGTATGTATGTATGTATGTATGTATGTATGTATGTATCATAAACGACTTGCCAAACTCTTCAACTTACTTTGATTATATCTGCTTTGCAGATGATACTAATGTTTTCAGTGTAGGCAAAAACATCAATGAATTGATTGCAAAAACTAACGTAGAAATTGTGCACATTAGCAACTGGTTTAAAAATAATAAGTTAACAATAAATATGAAAAAAACTCAGATGATTGTGTTTGGTCCAGTAAATTTTTTAAATTATAAAGAACCTTTCAAAATTGTAATAAATGGTTGTGACATCATTGAAAGTAAAGTAGTCAAGTTTTTGGGAGTCTTTCTGGATCAGAAATTATCCTTTCGGTCACACATAGACAACATCTGCTCAAAACTAGCCAAATCTATTTGTATAATAAACAAAATAAAGTTTTTCTTGCCGAGGAGATGCTTGAATATGCTATACAATGCCTTG